ATCACCCAGTGAGCATGAAGGAACAGGAACACCTTCAAAATAGAGACCTAAGGCAATCTATTTTATACTTTTTGTAAGCATTTCTTCTTTATTTTTATTTTCTTAATGTTCTCTATTTCTCAACTGTCTTTCTTCTTGTTTATAATCCACAAAGCCAATTCTGAAGACAAAAAGTCTTAAGTAGATGTATTGGCAAAGCTGGTTCCTTCCAGACACTCTAGGGGAGGATCTGGTCCAAGATTCCCTCGGCTGCTAGAAACCCTCTGCGTTCCTTGTTCATAGATTCATCACTCCAAGCTCTGCCTCTTCACACAGGCATCTACTCTAGCGTCCTTCTAAGCTGTCTTGAAGCTTCTCCTACAGATTAAAGTTTCTCCTACCGATTAAAAGTCATCAACCTGGGGTACAGTGAAGTGGATAATATGGTGCTTATGGAGTTAGTATCCTGGTACTTATGGGACTCCAGAATGAGGCACCCCTAGAAGCCGTCCACAGCTGGCCCCCAGAATTGTGAATGTGTTACCTTCCATGGTGAAAGGAACACTGCAGATGCAATGAAGTTGAGGACCTTGAGATAGGGAGCTGTCCTGGGTTATCCAGCTTGGCCCCGTGAGAACACAAGCGTCCTTATAAGTGAAAGACAGAGGCCAGAAATCAGAGCAGGTGTGATAAGAGAAGCAGAAGTCACTTCCTGCCAGGGGCCATAAGCCAAGGAAAGCAGGTGGCCTTTAAAGCTGGAAAAGGCAGGAAACAGACTCCCCCTAGAGATTCTGGAAGGAATGTGGCTCTGACAACACCTGGGCTTGGGCCCAGAGAAACCTATTTTGAACTCCTGACCTCCAAAAACCATAAGAGAATAAATGTGTGCTACTTTTTTTTTTAATATGTGCTAGTTTTAAGCCAGTAAATTTATGGCAATGTGTTACAGCAGCCACATGAAATGCATACAGTACCATGGACTCCTTAGAAGAAGAAATTATTCAAGGTGGTATCACTTGTGCTTATTTAAGAGAATTGCTTCTGGCTGAGTTGGCCGAGTATCCAGCAAGGATCCATGGGTGACATGTGGGCTCCTGGTGCTACCATCACTTGGTACCCAGCCAGAGGGAGCCACCATCCTTTGAAAAACACAGCTCAGGGCATCTTGCTCCCTGAACAGAAACTTTCTGATAACTCATCATGACACAGGAACATTATCCAAATACGACCATGGCCAAGCTTCCCTTCACCCGCTGGCTCTCTTGTCTCATCTCCTACTTTTTCTCTTGGTGAGTCCCCACCGAGCCTTCTTATTATTCCTCAAACATACTGGTCCTGCCTTCGGGATCCCGCCCTCACTGTAGCAGTCAGGGCCTCGAAGACTGGACCTAAGACCCGTCTGGGAACCCCAGCAGCCCAACACCTAGAGGCCGGGGTTCTGTGGGAGATGGGGGTGCAGCTGGTGGAAGTGGAGCTTGGGCAGCCCTGCAAAGAGAGAAGAGGACCATCCTATCCTGCAGTCAGCTGGTCCACCAGCAGGGAGTCCACAGCACAAGAGAGTCATCCAAGCTGTGGCAAGAATCATGGTTGTCTTTTTTTTTTTTTAATAGGATTTTATGTATGTATATATGTATGTATTTGAGAGAGAAAGGGAGAGCGAGAGAGAGTCAAAGTAGGATAAGACGGGGAGGGAGAAAAAGAGGAAAAGAAGCACAAGCAGACTCCATGCTGAGTGCAGAGTGGGGCTTGATCTTACAACCCTGAGATTGTGACCTGAGCCGAAACCAAGAGTCAGACACTTAACTGACTGAGTCACAGGGGCGTCCCTATCACAACTGACTTTTATTACTGAGCAGTATTCCACAGTACAGAAGTTTATTTTTCCCTCTACCACCAAGGGACATGTGTGCTGTTGTCAGGTTTTGCTGATTATAAGCAAAGCTGCTACAAATATTCATGATATTCATGTACAGGTTTTTGTATGAACGTGAGCTTTCACGTCTCTAGGGCAAACACCTAGGAGCTGGGTTGCTCAGTGACACAGTGAGGATACATTTAACATCACATAAAATTTCCCAGCCATGATTTGGAACCACTTTCCACCCTCACCAGCCGTGTACGATGTTCTCCCTCTTTTCTAGAGGATTGTCGCTGTACTTCATAATCCAGCCACCCCTGTTAAATATGCGGCAGTATCTCACCGTGGTTGTAAATCATATTTCTCTAATGATGTTGAGCATTTTTCATCTGCGTATCTTTGACAGAGTGTTCAAAAAAATGCTTTGGGCTATTTTTTGTTTGCGTTGTTTCTTATTTTTGAGTTTTGAGAGTTCTTTATATATTTTGGATTTAAGTCTTTTGTCAGATGAGCTATGCAAATGCTTAGAATGTGTTTCATGGAGTGTAAGTTTTTACACTTGATGAAGTATCATTTATCACTTCTCATTTTACATATCATGCTTCACATGTCGTATCTAAGAGCTCTGGGGGCGACTGGGGGGGCTCAGTCAGCTCAGCAACTGACTCTGGCTCAGGTCATGGGCTCAGCATCCCGGGATCAAGCCCTACATCAGGCTCTCTGCTCAGCGGGGAGTCTGATTCTCCCTCTCCTTCTGTCCCTCCTCTAATCACGTTCTCTCTCTCTCCCTTTCTCTCAAATAAATAAATTAAAAAAAAAAAAAAAAAAGAACTCTCCACCTAAACCTGGGTCATATCCTATGTACTTTTTAAAGTTTTATAGTCTACATTGTAGTCTGATCCATTTGGGGGTAATCTTTGTATACAGTGTGAGGCACAGATCAGTTTTGGTCTGCGGATGTCTAGCACCTTTTACTGAAAAGACTCACCTTCCTCCACTCAATTGACTTTGGTTCCTGGTCAAAAACCAGTGGGCCATATTTGTGGGTCTATTTCTGGACTCTACATTCTGTTTCATTATGTCTGTCTTTTCCCAGACACTGAATTGCCTTGATTACAGAGACTTTAAAGGATGCCTTAAAAATCAGATCACATTAGTCCTCTTTGTTCCTCTCTTTCAAAATTGTTTTAACAATGCTAGTTCCTCTCTCTCTCTCTCTCTCTCTCTCTATATATATATATATATGTATATATGTCATAGTTATATACATATACAAGTATATGTATATAGTTTAGAATCAGCTTATCTATATCTTCAAAGAAATCTGCTGAGGTTTTAATTGGGAATGTATTGAATCTATAGATTGTTTTAGGGAGGAGTGACATTTTAACTATACTGAGTCTTCCAATCCATGAACATAGTATGCTTCTCCATTTATTCTTAATTTTTTTAACCAATGTTTTATAGTTTTCAGCATACAGATTCTGCACATATTTTTATGTCAGATTTACACTTGAGTATTTCAGTGTTGACCCTATATTATTATATCCTTGTATCTTGGCAATTTGTTCTAAGAGCTTTTTTGTAGATTTCTTGTGATTGTCTACATGGATGATCATGGTGTCTGAAGAGCCACAGTACCATTTCTTCCTCTTTAACCTCTTTAACTTTAATTTCATTTTCTCACCTTATTGTAGTTGTACTTCATTTATTCACTCATGTGACAAGTGGCCCAGGTTCTGCCTCAGCACTGGAAGTTCACCAAATATGTTCCACGTCCTGCCTTTCTCATGTGTAGTGGTTAATCCCACATATAGTTACCATATGCTAAATTTGCATCTGGCTCTGTTTCTATGTATGATTAGTGGGAGAATATTGGCAGTACACTGAGCAGAAACGAGGATGCATCCAGGGAGTTGGTCTTTACACATGGCAACAGTAAATACTGATTCTCATGTCTGACCTCCCTGCTCAACGTCCCAGAAGAATAGATTGGGTACAGAATCAAGCACAGATGTATGTCCTCCTAAATGATAAAGAACATCTTTTCCTCTGAGACATGAGGGAAGGAAGAGCTGACTGATAAAGACCCAGAAAGATTGAGAATTGGAGAGAAGGAATACAGGGTATTCATTCATGGAGTTATAGATCATATTTCTTACAAATAAATGGGAATCAGTACAAATATACAATTAGGTAAGGTAGTCCCCAGTTGCTGCCAATGCAAATAGTACTTTTTGGGGGGGAATTTAAAACTTTTCCACTTCATGACTTTAAGCACTAATGTCACAAACATCTCATACCAGAGAGCTGCGGGGTTAAGTCATGACACAGGAAAAAGACCACAACCATTCTTAAAAATACATCTGTAGTTTGTTTGCGTATTATAATCCTACTGGCTTAAATTAACACAGTATTAATATAATACATTCTTAGGGGGAGGAGGAAGAAGGGGAAAGTGGATATGTGGCATATTCAGTATAGTAACACAAGTAAGAAATGACAGTACTTTCATCAGACAGCAATGCTTTGGAGGGACCATAGGTTGAGGATCAAAGTAAAAATAGAAAGAGTAACAAACAATCTTAATTTCTATGAATAGTGAAAACAATGATTTTTTTTAAAAAAACTACCTTTAATGCGCAGAAATAAGGGCAAGCAATGTTACAGATAGATATGCGTAAGATAAAACATATCCAAATGGGATTAAATGAACATGTTTCATCCTAAGTAAATCCATCTGTAAAAACAATCACTGAATTCTTTTGGCTTTTTAAACCATCACTAACATAGGTCACATTATTTCTTGGTCAAACACAGAAGAAAGTTCATTTGACTGTGAGAACACACATTTTGTGTTTTCATTCCAAGCCTGTTCTAATCTTATTTCTGCCAGTGGCTGAGCTCTGTATCCAGAAGGCCACTCTTCTGCTTTCGGTCCTCACCACACTCCCGTTCCCAAGGGATCAGCACTGGCTGGAGGTGCTGGGCCAAAGGGAGAAGAGTTCAAGGAGAGAACAGGAATGGGATTCACCGCTCACAGGAAAGTGTGCAAAGTCACACGAGTGCAAATCAAGTGATCTAGTGTCACTGCCTCAGATGACCACATCTAGCTTCTGTTTTCATATATGTACTTGCAACAGCTGCTTACACAACGGCTTACCCATTCATAAGAGAGAATCCAGCAGCCACGAGCGATTCCCAGCAGCACATTCAGGGTACGCAGGGGATTCCCGGTGAGCACATGAGTGGTAGTGCCACACACTTCCCGGGCAAATGAAAAGCCCTTCAACTTATTCACAACCTGGATGACAATGTTCTGCTTTCTGACAAATAGGAGGGGAAAAAAATCAACAGATTACTATGTTTCCTACATATGAACATCAAGGTGGTTATATTGAATAACAATTTTTAAAAAAAAATAGCTAAAATTCGACGTTGATCTCAGCTACGGAGCTCACATTTTAATTTATTTATAATCAATGCCTTAAAGTATGGGGAAAGAAAAAAAACTTCAGTTTTCAGCTCCAACTGTCTATTTTAACAACTGACAAAGCTGTTGTCAGTTGTGGGTGGCTCAGCGGGTTAAGCTTCTGCTTTCAGCTCAGGTCATGATCTCAGGGTCCTGGGATCGAGCCCCGCATCGGGCTCTCTGCTCAGCTTCCCCTCTTCTCAGCCTGCTGCTCTGCCTACTTGTGATCTCTCTCTCTGTCAAATAAATAAATACAATCTTTTTTTTTTTTTAATAAATACAATCTTAAAAAAAAAAAAAAAAACTGACAAAGCTGCCCCAGGCGTAAGTGGCTTCACCACCACGGGTGGGAACACAGCCAGCATCAGGAATGGCCCCAGCTCTTCCCACCTCAGAGAGATCTGAACCAACCTGGACCAAGCTTATTACTTGCTTATTTTATTTGAAGTATAACATTTATTTGAATTCACACATACCGTTTTTTCTAGTAAGAGCCAGGAAAGGGCCCTTTTCATTACATTATCAGCTCAAGCCTTGGGGCTAATTTGGCAGAGGCTCCTTATTTTTGCAAAACCCATCATCGTTTGTCTTCTGGTCTGCCCTTCCATTAGTGCCTTAAGTACCTTTTAAGAAATATATATCCTTACCATCTAACCTCCTCACCAAATTGTTCACCATTTTTCCTCTCCTCCTTTTATAATCACCTTACTAAAGCCCTTGGCTTTGACACGTTGCACTTCCCTCTCCCTCCCAGGAATTTTGGAAATCCCCAGTGAAATATAAAGGACATGAAGGGCTAAGTCACTATAACCTACATGGTGAGTTAAGAGACATTTCTCTTCTCTCTAAAAATTATTATGAAGAGAAAGAGGTTGTCCTTGCCCCTGCAACGACCACCTCTAACAATGCCCCACGGGCTTCACAGTCCTTCCCAGTTTTATCTCTACCATCTTGGGCATGTCAATCTCAAGACCTATTTCCTTACAAGTGAAACGAAAGGGTGGTACTGAATCACACTCTAAATTCTACGAGATCCCTATGGCAAAAAAAGACAGATGGGGCAAGACCCCAGCCCTATCAGCACTTCAACCAGAGAGAGAATCAGTGCTTATTGGGGTGATGGAAAATATTAAATTCAGGGGAAACGCAAAGAAAACAAAAGCATAAGGAAGTGAAAAGCTCTAACCATATGCTCACCAGAGCCCTTCATCTCCACATATGGATGATTTTCCTGTTCTAAGCCTGGCAGCCGCCTGCTATTTGCTAGATGTGTTAATCAGCCACAAGTGTCTCTTCGAGACACAGCTGATCACTGTGGCATCAGAACGTCTAGGTCTTTTGTTCTTAAGTCCAGACAAGAAGTATAAATGGGGGGAGCGGATAAAAAGAGAACATGGCCTAAATGAAAAGTTTGATTTTTAAAACTCTGATGGAGAAAATAACTATTTACTAATGTGTTTTATATTGGGGGCAAAAATATAGATTTTAAAAAATATCACACTGACCCCACTCAATTTTGGCTTCCATATTAGATGATTTAGAATGTTCAGTATATTTCATAAGAGATCAACAAAAATCGTGAGTGTGCTCTTTTTACACTAGCTAATGTACGGTGTTTGAACTATTGGTCCTTTTGATCTCATATGCCATCAGTAGGAAAAGGATCCTACAATATCAAGTATTACAAGCATGCACTTTTTTACAGGCTATTTTTCACTGAAATGTCCCAATGTTTTGACGAATGCCTTAAAACATATGATTGATATAAAAAACAAAACATGGTTTTCCCCTTTAAACAGGAATTCAAAAATCTGTTACAAAGAATATGGTGCTGTATTTTTGTTGGATGTGCTATATATTGTGTTAAATGTTTAAGGAAGATGATAAGAGCGTGCCAGCAAGCTATTAACTCTTTCCCAAAATGTGTGGATAATGGCTTTAATAAATAGCGTTGTAAAGAGCGTCCCAGCAAAGTGTTCCTTTAAGAACTTTGAGGGAATCGGCCAGTGATGCTCCATTTACTGGACTTTCATGGGGCAGAAGTGGTGGACACACAGAGACAGTACATATGAAGCAAACACGAGGAAGAGAAAAACACCGGAATCCCTCCTAATGCTGCGTAAACAACTCACAAAGTCTTCAGCGCTAACCTGCTCATAGGCTTCTAACCACCGTTTTTTACTTCCAGGGTTCTTCTAACTCCAACACCACTTGTACAGAGTAACAGCAAATGGCACAAAGCTATGGGCTGCCTGAAACATGCAGCATCACAGTATATGAAAGAAAAATCTAAAATTTTTACATTGAGTAGAAAGTTATCAAAACAATGAGTACTTACTCAGATGGCATGCTTGTCATGACTAATGTTCTTGTTGGCTAGAGATTTCAAAAGAGAAGGAACAAAAAACAGTCAGAAGTATAAAAAACATTTTTTCCCACAGAAATTAACTTTAATACATTTTTTGAAAAATTACATCACTTAAAAAGTAAACATTTAAGCATATATCAAAGTAAAAAAACTTTATATTCCTGGAAAAAAAAAAAAGAACAGCCCAAGAAATACAAATTCAGATACTATCCCAAACCAATCCAAAATAATTCCCGAACATGAGGTAGAGGAGTGGGGTGGGGGTGGCGGGGGGGGGGGGGGCTGAGAGAAATACTTCCCCCAGAAGTCCATTCTCCTAGTTAGCTAGCGGACCTCTAAATGTGCCATTCTGCTTAGGTATCAGCGAGGAAGAAGAGGGTAAGATGCCATTTTTTTCAGGCTAAAGAGCTATTTTCCAGTTTCTATACAACTCTAGCCCTGCCTCAGTCACACATACATAATACTGCTCATGGTCCTGGTGCCTGGGTCCCTCAAATGCTTTAACCTCTCACACCCAGAAGTGCAGATAATGGGACTGCTTATTCATGAGTTAGCATCTGCTATTAATTGGAACTGTAAAGTTCCTTTTTATTAAGTAAGTTTTTAAATACTTTTTTTTACTTACATAGACACATGCTGATGGCATTAAAAAACATGTATGTTAAATGCTTTGGAAATACATCATTAGAAATATAAATTCCCCTATAATTCTACCATCCAGAAAAGACTACTGTCCAATAATTTAGTTTATATTCTGCCAAATGTTCCTTCCATGGGAGGGTGTGTATATATATATAATTAAAATAAAATGGACTCACACTATCCATACATTTTTGTAACTGAGATGAAACACTTTGAATGCAACCAACTGTGCAGTGAAACCATGAGCTAACCATCGCACACTGAGTGTGTCTTGAAGGACCATGCATGTAAATGAGAAGAAGGAACAAAAGGCATTTAAAGGACTGGTGTGGACACACATGGTGGAGTCGAAGGAGCCTGTGCGCTGTACGGGTGTATCTGGGGAAAGTGGAGGAAGGAGCATGAAGAGATAATATGAATCAAAAAGATACTCAGGGGCACCTGGGTGGCTCAGCCAGTTAAGCCACTGCCTTCTGCTCCCGTCATGATCCCAGAATCCTGGGATCGAGTCCCACATCAGGCTCCTTGCTCAGCAGGGAGCCTGCTTCTGCCTCTGCCTGCCACTCTGCCTGCTTGTGCTCTCTCTCTCTCTGACAAATAAATAAATAAAATCTTAAAAAAAAAAAAAAAAAAGATTTCCCCCCCCAAAAAAAGATACTCGAAGAAGTGTCAGATGTGGTAACTCAGAGGATCATTGACCTCTTGCAGTTGTCCCTCCAGAAGAGTCTGTTGTTAGCCCTCATTTGCTTTGGATACAAAGCAAACAACTACAGCACAGCTTTGTGGGCTGAGTTGGAAGACAAGGTCTTTATGTAGGAGTCTATAATCATCAGGGGAGATTCCAGTGGAACCTGATCGTGATCCTCAGTGTTATCCTTGAAGGAAAGCTATGCAGGCCCAGGAATGTAATGAGCCCCAAATAAAGTCCAACAGGCGCTCCTTCCACGACACCCGTTTTCTTCTGTAGAACCATCCAAAAGATGCCAGTGGAATGTCATCTGTGGAAAGTCACCCAAGGAGGGAAGGGGAATGGACAAGGAAACCTCCTGACTTCTCCAATGCTAGGCTTTCTCCCCACAGCTTCACCCTTCTTTACCTGCACCCGCCTCTCCAGGTGATCCTTCACACAGCCTCGTGGATTTATGTGCCAGCCACATGCTGACCATTCCCAAGTTCATATCTCTAGCACAAACCTATTTCCTGACACCCAGACTCAAATATTCTACTGACTACACGATAAGGAGGGCCATCTGGAGGTCTAATAAGGATCTTGAACTTGACACGTCCAAAACTGAGATACCCTTCCAGTCAGGGAATTAGGCAAGAAAAATGGAATAAAATAAAAGACACCCAAACTGAAAAAGAAGTAAAGCTATCTCTACTCATAAATGAGATGATCTTATATGCAGAAAACTCTAAAGAACCCAGAAAAACAGTTAGAACTCATAAATGAATCCAGCAAAGTCACAAGATACAAAAATCGATGTGCAAAAATCAGTTGTATTTATATGTGAATAATGATCAGAAAAGGAAATAAAGAAATAATTTCATTTATATTAGTGTCCAAAAGAATAAAATACTTGGGAATAAAGTTAATAAAAAAGATGCAAAACACCAAACGCTGAAATTTTTTTAAAAATGATGAAAGAAATTTGAAGAGACCTAAACACATGTAAAGACATCCTGCATTCATGCACTGGAAAATTTAATATCATAAAATGACGAGACTATCTAAAGTACCTTTAATGCAATCTCTATCAAAATCCCAATGGTGAGTTTTGTAGAAATGGAAAAACACATCCCAAATTTATATGGAATTCCAAGAAAACCCAAAATAGCCAAAATAATCTGGAAGAAGAAACACAAAGCTGGAGGTCTGATACTTCCCAATTTCAGAACTTACTACAAAACTACAGTAATCAACACTGTACGAGGTCAGCATAAGAACAGAAATTAATATAGAGTCGAGAGCCCAGAAATACTCTCACATCTAAGGTCAACTGATTTTTGAGCAGGGCGGGTACCAAGACCATTCACATGTAAAGAATAGTGTCTTCAACAAATGGTGCTGGCAGAACTAGATACCCACAGACAAAAATGATATTGGACCTCTACTTTATACCATATACAAAAATTAACACAAAGTGGATCAAAGAATTAAATTTAAGAGCTAAAGCTACAGAACTCTCAGAAGAAAACAAAAGGGAAAATCTTCGTGACCCTGGATTTGGCAATAGTTCCTTAAATAGGACACCAAAAGCACAGGCAAAAAGAAAACAAATAAATAAATAAATTGGAATTCATCAAAATTAAAAACTTTGATGCATGAAAAAATACTATCAAGAGAATGAAAAAGATAACCACAGAATAGGAGAAAATTATTTGCGAATCATGTATCTGAGAAGCATTTAATATCCGTAATACATAAAGAATGTCTACAACTTAACAACAAGAGAAAGACAAACAACTCATTTTTAAAATGGGCAGGGGTGCCTAGGTGACTCAGTCAGTTAAGTGTCCGAATCAGGTCGTGATGTCAGAGTCCTGGGACTGAGCCCCGCACCAGGCTCCACACTCAGCACACTCTTGCACTCTCTTTCCCTCTAAAATAAATAAATAAATAAATCTTTTTTAGAAATGGGCAAACAGGGGTGCCTGGGTGGCTCACCGGGTTAAGCCTCTGCCTTCAGCTCAGGTCATGATCTCAAGGTCCTGGGATCGAGCCCTGCATCGGGCTCTCTGCTCGGCAGGGAGCGTACCTCTCCCTCTCTCTCTGCCTGCCTCCCTGCCTGCTTGTGATCTCTCTGTCAAATAAATAAATAAATATTTAAAAATGGGCAAATAACTTGAATAGACATTCCTTCCAAAGAAGAAAAGCAAATGGACAATGAGCACATGAAAACATGCTCAACATCACTAGACAGGGAAATCCAAAACAAAACCTCCATGAGATACACACCCCTTCACACCTGCTAGGTTGGCTATAATCAAAAACGTGAAAAATAACCAATGTTGATTTTTAAATGTGATGCCAGTGTTGTGGAAAACAGTTTGGTCGTTCCTCAAAAAGTTAAACCCAAAAACCCACACAGTCAAAACACTTACTCCAAGGTATATACCAAAAAGGATTGAAAACAAGGACTCAAATACTTGTGTGAGAATTTTCGTCACAGCATTATTCACAAGAGCCAAAGGGTGGAAACTGCCTACGTGCCCAACAATAAATGAATGGATATGATTAATCTGGTGTTTACGAGCAACACAATATTATTATTCAGCCATAAAAAGTAGGGAGGCTGTAATACACAACATGTATGACTCTGGAAACAGTGTGTGTGTGAAAAAAGCCAGACATACAAGACAAATATTGTATGACTCTACTTATATAAAATACCTAGAATAGGTAAATCCACAGAGGCAGAAAACAGAACAGACTCCCGGGGGCCAGGGGTGGGGTGGGGAATGGGGAGTTGTTGCTTAATGAGTTCCAAGTTTTACTTTGGAGTGAAGAAAATTTTCTGGAAACAGTGACGATGACTGCATCAAGTGAACACTGCCACTGAACCATACACTTAAAAACTGTTAAAATGGCAAATGCTATATTGTATGTTTTTTATCACAATAAAACAATTACACTACAATCTTCTCTCCCCAGCCCACTCCTTCCAAGCCTCACTGGCTTAGTGGCAATTCCACTCCTGCACGGGTCAAAAGCATTTTCATCATCATTCTCGCCATTATTTTCTCAAACCCCACATCCAATCCTATCATCTCATCCTATCAACTCAACCTTGCAGATGTATCTAGACTCTGACCACTTCTCATCAACTCCACTCGTGACATGCCAGCATCTCACGTGAGTCACTGTCAAAGCCACTTAATTCTTCTCCCTGCTAAAATCCCTGAGACTTCAGTCATTGCTCAACACAGAGCCAGAGCCACGCTGTGGAAACACACATCAGATCACGTCACCCTTATTCTCACAGCCTCTGGTGGCTTCACGTCTCACTCTAAATATACACGAACCTGTGAATATAATCAATCTATCCCTCAAAAAGAGAAAATCATGAACATGACCCCTGTTAAGTCTGAGTGAAGGAAGGTCACATACTTATGTCTACCAGAACCTTGACAGAGAGGGGACATCCCGCCTAGGCTGAGGGAAAGAAATGGTTGTATATAAGGAAACTCAAACCCCAAAATAAAAGTCTCAATGAAGAGAAAAAATATAAAGAAGACAAAACAAACAATCTGACTTGTAGATGTTGGGTAAGAAATCTAGAAGATTTAAGTTTCATTGACACGGTCCAGCCACAGAACCTACAAGAAAAGACAAGCTCCCCCTGGAGTCCCACACTAACAAGTG